TAAATTAACATAACAAGTTTATTAATTTTCTTCGTGGGTTATGAAATGTTCGAGTATTTCAAAGTATATAATCGTTTAGACTAGAAAGTCTGCTAATAGTGAATAGAGGACAATGAGGGCAAAAGTGTGTCCAATCATGTACAGGCTGACTGACATCAATTACAGGTAAACCTAGCAGCAAAGAGGGAATGGAATAAACTAAGTTTCAATTACTAGCAGAGATTTTTAGTTGACGTAACTATTAAAATCAATCTGGTGTTCATCCGAAGAATTATTGCTAGAGGCACACCAAAGGTTCTATTGTGACGTAGAGGATAATTATCAGTATCATTATAATTGATGAAAGGTTGAAATGAATAAGTAACATTAGGAGGACATCGGTAGTCTCAGATCTTTAAAAAAGTGGATATTTTGTTATATTTGTCTTTATTTTACTATCGGAGTTAGGGCAGACTCGTTATATAGTATGGATATATGAATCGTGTCTTTTTTGTAATGAGCATGACTTATAACGTGTTAAAAATTATGTCGGGAACACCTCCTGATTATATATGTTACCTTCGCATGATGTAAATCGCTGATCATTTTAACGTGTTATTTGCACGTTGTTATAAAAATATTTTCTTTCACTTTGTACCTTCTTCGATAAGGACCTTAGGGAAAATGTCGAGTTTCCGGAATTTCACGCCTGCTACATTTGCATCTTAGATAGCTCATTCCTTCTTTTTCCATCTTGATAATGACATACCTCCGTTTTCACATATCACTAATCAAAATACAAAATAGCAAGCAGTTATGGTCTAAATATAAGCACCATATACCAGCAAGATTATGCAAAGTTTTGAGGTAAAACCTACACCACGTTCATCACAGGACGCTATCGAGCTTTTAATCAAAACGTCTTTGACACGAGTTCCGTAATCATTATCAGTGAAAGCTGCAAGCAGGGAAAGTCAAATGGCATGTACAGAGCTCTTGTATAAATTGTTAAAGCCTGAATGAGTAATATCGCTTGTGACAAAAATTGAAGTTTTGATGTTAGCATTGAGCTACGCCCATCGACATTTGACAAGATGAACTACACAAAAGAAACCCATTCTTGTGTGAAATTGCACACTGGCAATGTTTAAAGCAACATCAGTGTTCTGGACAAATCAGGCAAACGACGAATATTTAAATTGTAATTCAAAACTAATATGAATGTGTGACACTGTGATCCCACATTAAACCGATATGATTTACAACGTATCAACAAATAATGCGACATAAATGGAATTCACGGGAGCTGTCTAATTTGTTTTATACACAATGTTTGAGTAATGTTATTCATATTTCAATACATGACATAGCCAACAGGAAATAAAGATCATATTGTTGCTTGGACCTATAGCCGTATGTAGCTTCGATATCTTCCATCTGATAATCTTTATGACCAGTGAGGTAGTGACCAGGTCGTTGGTTTTGGCTTTTTTCTCCTAACCGGCTTTCCTGAAGCACCCAAACCTGAACGTCTTCAATGGAATCTGGCTGTAAATAGGACGTAATTTAACATTAAAAAAAACGATCTTTCCAGTAGATAGCAAGACCACAATGCTAATGTGATGATTATGACGACTATAAAACTACTATATAATCTTTATCATTACGCATCTCTGGAATCCCGTATTGTGGGTTTGTATTGGTGATCAACAGAGGCATGTTTAGGGTTTAGAATATTGGGTTGCTTTCCAGATATGGAACATTCACAATATCGAAATTTAAATCATTCCGTTTATCAGCTTGATGGAAAGCTGCCCGTGTTCGTTTCATTGTAGGAAACTTTTAAATTTTTCACTTAGATATACGTATAGTCGTATGGGAGATACTGCGAACCAGATATTAGATCATATTATTATTTTTCTGTGTATATTTTCTCTTTTATTTGAACGTATTTAAACGAAATACACTTCAGTTTAGTTTAAAATCATGGCTATTTATCACCGTTCATCTTTATTTGAAGTTGTTTCGTCCTTCTGAGACTCGCCAGTAATGCTTTGGGCCTATGTTGTTGCAACCTAGGGGTAATCTATTAAAAAAATGAAACAGCTTACAACCTACATCTTTTGGTGTCCTACATATGTTTGTCATTGAAAGACTTACACGCTCAAACGTAAGATGGTCTGCACAGATGACATATTTAGTTGGACATATGTAGATGATATATAGAAAAACTAATGCATTTACAATGGCATTGTGATATAGACACCAAAACGGAGAAAAGAATGCGACAAAATGAAATTCGAAATTGACAAACCTGGACAAATGAGTATTGTAAGAACGGTGGTATTTTACTTGATGATCTGAATTGAGCTGGGTAATCTAATATTTATTTTATACAGTCATGCATAAGTACACAGACCTATAAGGACATCAACAAGTTGTATTTGGAGGTGGAAATGTATTTTCCTATCGTAGGTCTTCTACTTGATGTTAGAGCCAGAGTATGTAAGAGTGCGTGAGGGGAGTGCGATGGAGATGTGTATTCACTAAGGCTAGGTTCATATTAAGCTAATCGAGTTGATGTGATGAACGGATTCAAAAAGTCTACCCTATATCACCACCTGTACGATTAACTGATATGTTTGTATGTCGTTACAGGATTGTCAGTATTCGGAACATTTATGAAATATGCCCGACAGACTTTACTGGACGTTCTAAGACAACTGGAAACATTAAAGTAAGTAACATATACATTTTCTAAGTAACATATCGATTTCCTAAGTTACATATCAATTTCTTTATGTTTCTCGTAAGAAGAATATGAAAATCGAGAAAAAGAAATTGACTTGCTGCAGCTGTTGTCACACATTCCACATGACTATTAAATACAGTCCTTGTGATTATTTTACGATCCTCAACAAGGGAAGTTTGTATTGATATGTCTGTCGTAAACTTTTGATGTTAAATGACAACATTTATCTAAATAACGAAATACAAGATGTGAGTACTGAATTCAGAAACACCGACACATGCTAAACATTGTAACATTCTGATGGTGATTTTTTAAAGGATTTTTCATCTCAGATTAAATTAAAGTCACTATTCATGTCAATGAATTCTCCATTACTTCCATATTACATGATAGACTAAACAATGAAGTAAGTCAAACGAATATCAATATTTCCGGAGAATCACATCCCTTACCGAACGAAAACAATATCTGAAAGATTTTGTAACTTATTTTCCTAAACAACACCTAGTACCACTATAGTTTTGGGGTCCAGGGAACAACTGGGCTATTTCATCTAGTGTCTTCGCAGATATAATTACTATATGTTTAACAAAGAAAACCAGATAATTAGTTCAATGACCACATCGAGCCCCTGAGTTCTTAATAGTAAGGGTTCACTGTATATATAAATCACAAAAAGTACACGTATTATTGTAATTTAAAGACGTTTTACTGTACATGTGCCTCTGGTTTTGTAGATGACGGGCTATACGAATTGGCCTTTATTTCTCAAATCGGACAATAAACAATTTGAAATAATACCCGAACCATCTCTTCTATATGCGTTGCACACACATATCATGTGTCTCTTAACTACTTTTTCTCAACACAATACACAGGTACGTTCTCCAACATACAATAAATTCTTCGCGGCATTCATATGTATATCAGCTATATCTGGAATTTCAAATTTAGGCTACCTCAAATTCTACTTCTCCTTTTTATGTCCATTATAAAACCCAGAATTAGCAGTATAATGAAAGGCATGCGTTTGTGACACTGCATGATTTTATTTCCTGGTGTCCAATGTGATTTAATACATGTAGTTTCGCTGTGGCCCTTTACAATAATGTTATCCACATAATACATGTATTTTGTGAATAATCCTGAGATAGTAAATTTATGTCTTTCACTCCAAGCGATTTCTCTCCCTTTTTATACTTATATCAGTAATTACAATGAAATGTAATTAGCCTCTACAGATAAAGATTATAGCTAAATACTCTACTGAGTAGTATTATGTAACAATGCCTTTTTCTGTTAAGTTTATACGTAATCACATATTGATGTTTATGGTATACGTGTACGTCAATGAAAATTTTACAGTTACCTTGAATGACTGTATTCATTATTTGTTGGGCCAGAATAAGTACATGTATCTATACTGTAAGGCTTGTACAAAATGGTTATTGACATCTAGTTTTAGCCATTATTTGTCTATAACGCAGGATTAACAAACAACCCACCATGTATGAGTCAAAATCAATATGGTGCTAAATTAATTTAATATTTAATTTTAGAATGTTGACTGATATGAATACCATTTCCATACTGTCCTGTTCTGAATTACTAACAGCACGAGAGCAACGTCAGTGGAAAATCAGAATCGGAGACCATCCGTCATCATCTTGTTACTGGTAAGGAGGGTCAAACTCCATAAATAAAATATTATATTACAATGTTTGAAGTATACTGAACGATGTAAAGGACAAATTACCAATAGAAGTGTCGGTCATGTTTGCATTGTGATGCATTTCCAGTTTGAAATATATTCACACTAAGAGTTCAAGGAGGTCAGTAATACAGCTTTTTCCTTATCCACCAATTTTGGAAATGACGTTTTTTTTTATATGACTCCAAAAATAAGATGAACCTTTTTGCTGGATTTATTTTTTATCAAGGGCAGAAAAGAGTATTTTCTGCTTCAATACCACGCCTCTCTAAACATAGTTTCCAATTGTATCAGTTGTCTGCATATTAAGTAATATATCGCAACAATGCATCAAGACGGATCTATCGATATATGAACTGTATGTTCCTCGAATTTTAAAATGAACATTTCTAGTATGTTAATTTTTGACTGACCCAATTTTAGTCAAAAAGGATTTGTAAATAAAAACTGAATGGTATTACATTATAGTTAATACTTCTCGGTAGAGGTAACTTTTATTTTTCCATTTTCCACGGTGACCCTTGCTATGATGAACTCAAACTAGATTAAGAGGCAATTATGAACGAGGAGAACCAGTTACTTGAGTCGCCCAGTCGGATCTATCGAGCACGCTGGTGGATGCTTTTGTTGTCGTCTCTTCATTTCCTTCACCAGAATGTCGGCTTTAACACCTGGGGACCAATAGCACAGTCAGTCAAAAGAGCATTTGGCTGGGAAGATACCACTATAGTTTTTATTCTCAATATGGGTCGAGTGGGAAGCGTCCTTTACATGTGCATCGGATCATACGTGTTTGACAAAGCAGGTATGCGTGATTACCACGTGTCGTTAAAAAACCCAAAGTAAGTAAGATATTCCAGAAGTATATCGTTAGTAAAATTAAGGACCTACATTTTGATTTGTGGTCGAAAGAAAAGAAAAGTCTCGAGGTTAAGCATTTGAAAGAGAGAGAATGCATTCTATCAATAATGGACTATCATGTTCTCAACGAATCTCTTTTAGTTAAAGTACAATTGCCCTTGCACGTTTTTTGGAAAGTATTAAGCGAAATAGCTGAGCGCATGAATTCTAAGTGGTTGGCACAGTGACATCAATGCTTTGAAGTACGTTAATGTATCGTTTTTGTGATGATCATTTGAATTCCCATTAAAGCAGACATCAAATTCATCGAAAAAAAAGAATAGGTGCTACGGTCAAAACAGCTTTTATTATCATTGAAAATAAAAACATTCACTTAAAATAGGAATAATTCTCGTAAAGTTATCATCTCGGTTGATATTTCTAATTTTAGTGAACTTTTTTTCAACCGAAACTAAAATTTCTTTTCAGGTTTACGAGTAGCAATGCTGATCTTTTCTGTTGCTATGCTATTAAGTAACATTTTGCGATCACTGAGTAAAGACAAAGACGTAGCGGTGATGTAAGTATATCTATCTTATTGTTTTTTTAGGAGAGAAAATGTTATTGATTGCCGTTCATGCTTCAGATGTAACATTTTGTAATTCTAATTTGAGATCGATACACTCCATCATTGTCCAATCCAATTCTCAATCATCATGTTGAGCTATTATGAATACTAATATGATGTTTGTTTTTCATTAAAAGACTTATTACGATCGGAGAGTTTCTAAACGGGTGTAATGGAATAACAGCATTTGTAGCGCCACCTGTTATAGCAGACATGTGGTTTCCACCAGGAGAGAGAATTACCGCATCAGCCATCATGGTGCTAGCTGCATATCTTGGTGAAGGGCTGTCCAGTATTATTGGTAAGTGAAAGAACTTACATAATAAAATTGATAGTCTTGCAAATCTTATCATAAAAGGGGTTTAAAAGTAGACTGCACGGATACACAAATATACATATCTGAAATCGTTTGTGCTTGCTTATCTGAATGCTGAAGTGTATCTCCCACATGGGCTGAGCCAGATGGTGCAAGTAAACAAAGAATGCTGCAAAACTACTAAGACCATGTGTTCTGAAGAGTTTAGTATTATGTTAGTTAAAAACTGGAAGAATATAATGATAAGATATAGTCTACACTCCACGTCAAAATCGCCTGTCTTAAAACATTAATTGACCTGTTATCGCGGATTGCTATTCCCTGTTGATTAGTCAAATTTATTGAGTGATCGTCACTGACTGCCAAAACTCATAACATAAAGGTTCAAAAGATGCAGGTTGATCAAAATTATAGGGAAGTTTTATGGTCACCATAGTGATCTTGTTGAGAAATATTCTATTTCTCTGTGCGATATGAAACTTGATGTATTTGATGCTCGTTAGTTTGCATGTTCGTTCCGTTCTTGTATATCTTGTTCTCATCTGTGAACGCGACATTTCTTTCTTGGTTGACCAAGGTTTACATGGCGGGTGTCGTCGATGAAGTAGAATACGCTAACTCTTCCAGAACACCGGAGAATTGAACGGAATTTGAGTGTTAATTATTATTATGTTGCCATATTGTTATTTGTTATTTTTCTTCTATTATCAATTGATTGATTAGAAACGAACATCCTCACGCATTGTTAATGCAATATTCGGTACGCAACTGTTATCGAACCGGCATTGAAATTGCAGGACCATGGACTTATCAACATGTACAAACCGAACAGTCACGAACGACTTCATGTCATGCAAACCATGCAAGCATAAATATGGAGTTTACAGATATTTGTTTTTAGTATCAGTTCAATGGCTTCTGGTTATGTATAGTTGGTGTTGACAATCATAATGGAGACGGATATTGTCTTTAGTCGTAACACTGAATAGGTGGACGTTTATAATGCTTTAACTAAGATTCGTCTGCTTTTTGTCATGGAAAGATCCTTCTTCCTCTAAAAGCGCATTAAATTTGTCCTTGTAATGTACCAATAACTCCACCTTTTAACATGAAATGGATGAACAGGTCATGAGGCAAGTAAGCGTTGAAATTTTAGATTCGAACATGCGACCATTTTATTATGAAACACAATTCGTTGAAACAATGTATAAAATATAACTAAAAGTACAGTTTACACAGTGACCATTCAAAATCTCAAAGCATGAGAAAACAGAAGACCATGGAAAGATGATCGTTTTCATGCTTCATGGAGGTCACCCGACATTTTAGTGAACACAAAAGGGTAATTTTAACGAGAAATAGGTTGTCAACAACAATGCCACCAGACATTCGAATTTCTGACAAAGAAATGTTCCGATAATATCGTTGTGATGACAATGAAATTTCAGTATCATTTAAATAATATTTGCATAAATTGTACATCATGTACATATACAAGCAAGAAATTACACACCCGATGATTTACTCGAGTATTCGATTTTAATAGCAATAATAATGTCTCAGTGCTGTTTTCTATTTTGACTCACTACTGGATTACTTTTAGAGTCATATTAAAATTATTCATATAATAAGAAGACAAATTGTAATTGAATTCTGAAAACGCTCACGTTTCATAATGTCTGGTTAAACAACCTTTTCGCAGTTGAGAGATATAAATGTCACTTTGGTTATAAGATAAAACGTAATTTGCATCAAATATTGCGTGAACGTATAAACCAAAGTATCAGATGTACCTATTATGATTTTAAATTTCATCTGATTTCTTGAACTTTTTCAGGTCCCAATGTATTGGAGAAACCAATTTACGCCAACGACAGGTATGGTCAAACATTTATAATTACATTTTATTTTTTTAAATAATCATACCACAATTGCTTATCTCACGCTATTTCAAGCGAAGCTCAACTACCAGAAGCTTAATTTAAGACGTAAAGAAGAGTTTTGCTGACTTTTTGGTATTACAATTAAAGTTGAAATGTGAAGTGTTTTTATACGCTACGTATTCGCTGGTGATAATTTTACTTTTGTATTATGTTTCAGTATCCTGCAAAACTCAACAGTAACTACAGAGTCGACGACAGGTTGTTTTCTAACATTTCATTTTATTCCTTTGTTTACAACTTACATCCTTTGGTATAAAATTATGCATGGAGATCATTTGCTAAATCTAAATCAATCAGTTGTGTTCTGAACGTTACAGACAGATTGATTAGCGCTTAATGATGTCCCTTCTTTCGGTATCGTAATTAAACACAATTTGAGTATAAATTCCTTTCTATATAATACATGTCTATACTGTTGTAAATATATGTATACATTCTATCTCCGTACCTTTGTTAGTTATCAATGGCGAGGAAATTCTGGATGGACTGATGTCCTATCTTTATGTTCGTAAGTACATGTTTATTTCGTTTCAAGGTCAATAGCTATTATCCTTTGTAATCGACATTGAAAAGTAAGGACGGTTTTAATGTCTGTTTGGATGGAATATGTGTGGGTTTTTTTGACCGGTATCATTGACCATTATGTCTGATGAAATAGGAGGGCGTACACGCACATATTGTATCTAGAATTGGGCACATTTCAAGAATACTTTGAAATTCACGGTGAGCATAAATAGAACACCTCAGAATATTTGTTGTCTTGTTGACAAATTATTTCTCAGTATAACATGTTTTAATAGAACAGTTTAACTGTTTAGTGAACACGCATTTAATATAATGAGGTTATAAACTAAATGTTAACATAAAATTTAACTAATTTGCAATAGTCCAATTTCATTTTCAATTTAAATTGTATTAACTACCACCCTGGCGTACCTTGAATGCAAATCAGGTCAGCGGTGATAAATTCCGAACATCACATCCACCCATGTCCTCACATTAGATTGTATACGGCTGAGTGACGAACAGTCTTTTAGAATAGAAGCACACCCATTTATTTTCACATCCTCACAAACACACATACCACACACACACACAAATATATATATCATTATTCACTATCATTATTCCTATATAATCTATGCATGAAATTCTATCTACCTTATAAGATAGCACTTAGAAAATAATATATTATTAATAAATCGATGTCAGTGATATTGATGAAGTAGCAAGCGATGGCAGGATTTAAGGTCTTTTGGAATTTTCTGAAAGCTTCATCTTACCATGGATAAATGTAATGTAATAAATGTAAATTTTGTAGTGTAGGTAACGGATTAGCGAATAAAGGAAGGGTTAAGTTATCAGATGTGATATTTTTAATATGATCTTTCTAGTCATTTTATAATAACTAACAATATGCAACTATTCAAATATGTATGCAGTTCGATATGCCTGTTACAAATCACATTTGAAAACTGATTTGTAATTTTTTTCTAATTTCTGGCGATTAATGATCAGTGTACATTATATAACTCCTGACTATAGAAATGAAAATACATTTCAGCCTATAGAATGATGCTTGGTATCCATTTTATTTTCATATCCTTAGAATTTGGAGTATCGGTAGTGTTATTCATTATGACCGTTGCTTACTATCCTGATAAACCGTCCTCGGCTCCTAGTACCTCTGCTGGAATGTCCCGCCTTAGCTACGTGGAATCCTTCCGCAAACTTGTCAGGTAGCTATTCATTTAACGTCTTATCGAACCTCACAAATATCAACCCAGTGTCTAGGATATCGCTTGCGTTTCAGATTTTAGTGTGAATTAACATAAATTATATGGTTCTTTGTCTTTAAATCTGAACATATAAATGTTGACTTTCCAATATTGAGTCAAGTTCGGTGACGGAGACCAGTTCAACTTTCAATAAATACTGTTCAAAACTGAATGTGAAATATAGCAAAATAATTGAAGATCAAATCTGTCATTGAATTATAACTTTCTTTGCAAATAAACAATGCTATGTCATTATATTAATTAAACATATTCTTTTGTACGTTTTAACATGGTAAGTATAATTGTTAAATCAATATCTATGTTATATAATATATATAATGCAACATACACTGCAGAAACAAGCATCTGCTCTTACTGGTGCTGGTTTTCGGTGTAATGATCGGCGTCTACACGTCCTGGGTTCAAGTGATAGACATTGTATACAACCCTATCGGCGTTTCACAGGTAATGTTATTGGTTTTTACCTTCTAATATACTAATGATTTGTACTTCCATATATACAAGGAAGAGATAATGGACACATTGATTACCCAATTACATATTATTCGACAATGAAAAGGTATATTTTCGAAATATGGTTACCGATTTCCTATGTAAATAAAGACAGATGCTTCATTAAATGTAGTTTTGGGGAAAAAATAAATGAACATGGTGTTGTTTAATTATCTGTATATATTTAGCTTACACAATTGATGTATTGTATGGGTTTTATCCTCAAAATCCGATGCTTTCGTCCTCAGCAGATTCGTTTAGCCAAATAAAATGAAAAAAGTAGATTGAATCGAAGTGTTGATAATTTGATATCCTGAACAGATGCTATGATTTATTATAATAGCTGCATTTCAGCGAAAAGCAGTGGTATAAGATGTAGAAAAATAACAAGCGTCATTATGATCAAACCCAAACGGGTATACCTAAAACAGATTTAAGATACAACCATCGCCGACTGGTTTAGTTTCTGTTTCTTAAACCATTAAATTTACATGTATTAAATGCTACTTTCCCCTGTTGAACAATGCTAAGCTAAACGTGACAAACAGTAAAGAAAGCAATATTGACATATGTTCTGCTTTTTTCTTCCAGCTTAGCGCTGGGTGGATAGCTTTTTATACTATAATCATAGGCAGTATACTTGGGTTCGTTATAGCAAGGTAAGTCTCCAAAAATGTGATCTTATTCTTTGTGTTACAATGCAAATATCAAGTTATGTAGATATTTGTTATCTTTTAGATCATTGTTCCTTTTCTTGGTGTAACAGCGCCGATACGTATATCGGAAATCGATTTTTGCCTTTGTGTTATCTTTTGATGTTAAAAAAAGGCTCATTTTTTTATAAAGGTAGCATTCATTGATTCAAAAAATACCATTCCTTGTATGATATGAAAACTATTCACTAGGCTCCATTTGTGTATCTTTTCCGTTTTGTAATTGAAGGTTTTGTTAAATATGTTTTAACTGCTCAGACAATGATGTGCTAACCACAACTACATTAAAACGTCTATTTTATGATTGTTATAGCCTGTAAATACTTATCAATTCAAAACATATCATTGTCACATTTGTACCTCTACAAATTTGTATACATAAACAAATGTATCTTTATTTAATCTCTGTATCGAACGTTATCAATATTTAAATTATTTCATTATTGCAGGTACAATCTAAGTGATTGTTACGTTTAATTGCGGGGCTTTAGGCATGTACTTATGAAGCAACATTTAGTAATGATTTCGTTTTGTTGCAGGTTTTCTGATATATTCATGAAGCGAATCAAGCCAGTTCTGTTAGCTATGTTTGTACTCACCATAGTAACATCCCTGTGGACGGCTTTGATTGCTAATGGATTACTTCCGTATACTAACTGTAAGATTTTTATGCATTTTTTTAAAGTAAACGATTGTCTCATTCACATTGTGCATGTAGCAAAACTTTCTTCTATAATAACATATGGATAACTATGATTTTGAAGTCATTTAGTCGGCGCAAGTTTAGTCACAAATTAATGAAATGAGAGACATTATGACTTTATTTACATCAATCGGATAAAGTGAAATACTGAAATACACCAACTCAACAGTCATTATATTCCATGAGCAATAAAATGCTATCTAGTATTCATCTTATATATCTGTGCGATTGTGTTCCGTGTATGAGAGCTCTCTATTGAACCACTATAGTAATAACAGATTTATTTATGAGACATCAGATGAAGCAATTAGAAGCTAGTACAGGTAAAAGCAACTAAGTATAGAAAAATATATCAGATGTTACGTAGGAAGGTTGTACAAAAGGCACAGCAGCGCCATTCATTAGTATTAGATAAAAAAAGATCCAAATCATGAATTAAACGGTATCTGCAGAGTTGTCTACCTTTTGTGATCTGGAAGATATAAAATAAAATAGATAATAGAATGATCTAACCTGACATTTATATGTCCTTGAATATTTATAGACAAGAATTCGGACTTTTCTTGTGTTTCCAGGCTCCGTTATCGATCTGGGTGTATTTCTGTTATATATATATATGAAAAATGGAAATAATCAAGAGAGCACAAAACACATTACATGATTATATGAAAATGTATTAGAAAAAAAGGATCAACGCACGATTATGTTTGTAAGATTCTTTGAAAGATCCTACCTTTATGTCAGTAACTAAGATAAAGATTTATGAAAATGTTTTACGTGACCCATTCAAATTTACGAATTCTTATTAAACATAAAATTAAGTTTATTATATGTACAAGGTAAAACGTCTTCAGTTTAAATACTAGGAGGGATTTTTCAGATTTAAGACTGAAATGAACACTTTTTGACAAAAGAATACAAATTTTCATCTTCGCAAAAATACGGTATATGGTGATGGAAGATCTTCAAGAAACTTAATTCAAATATATAAATTAGTCTTACATTTTTTTCTCTCTTTGTGAAGTATGATGTTTAAAAATTCCGTAAATTCAGAAAAAGCAGATATGAAATTATTGCATATTTATTTTTCCAGGGCAGTTGTATGTATCTGCCATCGTGAGTGGTGCTATGATAAACGCCTCCTTCCCTCTGTGGTACGAGCTTATTTGTGAAATGTCCTTCCCTATACCCGGTGGAATCATTAACGGAATGTCTAACTTCGTCTTCCTCGTCTTCGCCAATGTCTTCTTCGCTCTCATGTATATTCCTGTACACGGTAAGTATTTTATACATATAGACTTCGGAAGTCGTAACATGTATATCACACAATGAAATTACAGGAGTAGTTTTAAGCAAGAGACTTATACTTTCAGAATACCATGTCAGAGGTCCCCATTGTCATCTTCCTATGTTCATAGTTTGCCTCATTTCATCTTATGGGATGGGAATTTTAATTTTCTTTTGTTGTTTTATTTATGAAAATAAGCGATAATATCAATAATGGCGCAAAGAAAATTAACTTTAAAAACTTTTTTTTTTAATTTTTATTTTCTGAGTTGTCTCCCTTCCGCAGACCACCGATGGATGACGTGGACTATGTTCGTTTGTTCCGTGATTGGTTTTGTGACGTTGTTGTTGTTACCGGTGACGTACATTAGGACAGATATCGATATGGAGTCTAAGGAAGTGGATGACAGTCATAGCAACAAGGCCGACAATATCATGATGGAAGCCTGTTTTCAGGAAAACGTTAAGAATGAAAATGAATAAGTGTTTAATTTGTCATTTGTCGCTTTTTATTTAAATGCATTTTCGACAACAGTATAACAAGTATCAGTGTAACACGTTGTTAAAACGATGGTGATTATCATACTTATTCAAACGCTTCCTGACGCTAATAGTTCCTCCAAGAGATCTATCTTATAGTTTTTATGGAAAAAGCGTTGTAACGCAGAGCGCCATGTCATTGATTGCGGACGTTGATTGCGTAATTCATCAGGAAATATTACCGTAATAGTTGTTCATGTGTGATGACAATGGCAAAATGTTTTGTGTATGTAATGTGAATGGGGTGCGTTCGATGCATATTAATGAGGCTTTAAATATGTACATATATATATATATCAATACAGTGTTAACTATATTTTTGATAGTTTATGAAATAAACACACACATGATCTCTTATTTCTGTTCTTTTCTGTGCGTAATGTTAATCTGTAAGCGTGGTTCCAACAGGCTCTTTTAATCCGTTTATTGAATGTTTAAGTAGTTAGTGTAAATTATATCCGATTGATATGTGGTATTATCTAGGGCCACTAAGTATGGATGTCATTCACAGTAGTGGTATAGATATGTTTAATATAACCTCGAAAATTGATGACATCACGACAGTATTTGTTCTCCGAATAATGAAAACATTCTGTTTTTGTATCTGTGTACATCGGAAAAATCGAATATTCCTATAACACCAAACCCTGTAGTCTACGCCCTACACAAACACACACACACACACATATTGTACAATACACAAGTGTGATCTCGTATTGAGGAAACGAAGTATGCATTATTCCTGTGATTTTTAAAATAACGAGTATTACAGTATAAAATGACTCTCTCAGTATGTATTAACATTTTCCATGAATTTTGTATAAACTTTACAAAAGAACATCCTTGCTTGAATGCTCTGTTACTGGCTGATGACCCACGCCCTACACACACACGCAAACACACGCACATCACACGCACACACACACACACACAGAGAGAGAGAGAGAGAGAGAGAGAGAGAGAGAGAGAGAGAGAGGGGGGGGGGGCACACCCATCTACCTACCTACCTAAATTTCCTTGTTACAATCATACTGATATTGACATTTGACGCGTTGTAAACATTTAGCTAGTAGTAATCAAACAGTGAAATTTGTCATTTGACGCTTTGTAAACGTTTAGCTAGTAGTAATCAAACAGTGAAATTTGTCATTTGACGCGTTGTAAACATTTAGCTAGTAGTAATCAAACTGTGAAATTTGTCATTTGACGCGTTGTAAACGTTTAGCTAGTAGTAATCAAACAGTGAAATTTGTCATTTGACGCTTTGTAAACGTTTAGCTAGTAGTAATCAAACAGTGAAATTTGTCATTTGACGCGTTGTAAACATTTAGCTAGTAGTAATCAAACAGTGAAATTTGTCATTTGACGCTTTGTAAACGTTTAGCTAGTAGTAATCATACAGTGAAATTTGTCATTTGACGCGTTGTAAACGTTTAGCTAGTAGTAATCAAACAGTGAAATTTGTCATTTGACGCGTTGTAAACGTTTAGCTAGTAGTAATCAAACTGTGAAATTTGTCATTTGACGCGTTGTAAACGTTTAGCTAGTAGTAATCAAACAGTGAAATTTGTCATTTGACGCGTTGTAAACGTTTAGCTAGTAGTAATCAAACAGTGAAATTTGTCATTTGACGCGTTGTAAACGTTTAGCTAGTAGTAATCAAACTGTGAAATTTGTCATTTGACGCGTTGTAAACGTTTAGCTAGTAGTAATCAAACAGTGAAATTTGTCATTTGACGCTTTGTAAACGTTTAGCTAGTAGTAATCAAACTGTGAAATTTGTCATTTGACGCGTTGTAAACGTTTAGCTAGTAGTAATCAAACAGTGAAATTTGTCATTTGATGCGTTGGAAACGTTTAGCTAGTAGTAATCAAACTGTGAAATTTGTCATTTGACGCGTTGTAAACGTTTAGCTAGTAGTAATTAACTGTGAAATTTGTCATTTGACGCGTTGTAAACGTTTAGCTAGTAGTAATCAAACAGTGAAATTTGTCATTTGACGCGTTGTAAACATTTAGCTAGTAGTAATCAAACTGTGAAATTTGTCATTTGACGCGTTGTAAACGTTTAGCTAGTAGTAATCAAACAGTGAAATTTGTCATTTGACGCGTTGTAAACGTTTAGCTAGTAGTAATCAAACAGTGAAATTTGTCATTTGACGCGTTGTAAACGTTTAGCTAGTAGTAATCAAACAGTGAAATTTGTCATTTGACGCGTTGTAAACGTTTAGCTAGTAGTAATCAAACAGTGAAATTTGTCATTTGACGCGTTGTAAACGTTTAGCTAGTAGTAATCAAACTGTGAAATTTGTCATTTGACGCGTTGTAAACGTTTAGCTAGTAGTAATTAACTGTGAAATTTGTCATTTGACGCGTTGTAAACGTTTAGCTAGTAGTAATCAAACAGTGAAATTTGTCATTTGACGCGTTGTAAACGTTTAGCTAGTAGTAATCAAACTGTGAAATTTGTCATTTGACGCGTTGTAAACGTTTAGCTAGTAGTAATCAAACAGTGAAATTTGTCATTTGACGCGTTGTAAACATTTAGCTAGTAGTAATCAAACTGTGAAATTTGTCATTTGACGCGTTGTAAACGTTTAGCTAGTAGTAATCAAACAGTGAAATTTGTCATTTGACGCGTTGTAAACATTTAGCTAGTAGTAATCAAACTGTGAAATTTGTCATTTGACGCGTTGTAAACGTTTAGCTAGTAGTAATCAAACTGTGAAATTTGTCATTTGACGCGTTGTAAACATTTAGCTAGTAGTAATCAAACTGTGAAATTTGTCATTTGACGCGTTGTAAACGTTTAGCTAGTAGTAATCAAACAGTGAAATTTGTCATTTGACGCGTTGTAAACGTTTAGCTAGTAGTAATTAACTGTGAAATTTGTCATTTGACGCGTTGTAAACGTTTAGCTAGTAGTAATCAAACAGTGAAATTTGTCATTTGACGCGTTGTAAACGTTTAGCTAGTAGTAATCAAACTGTGAAATTTGTCATTTGACGCGTTGTAAACGTTTAGCTAGTAGTAATCAAACAGTGAAATTTGTCATTTGACGCGTTGTAAACATTTAGCTAGTAGTAATCAAACAGTGAAATTTGTCATTTGACGCGATGTAAACGTTTACCTAGTAGTAATCAAACAGTGAAATTTGTCATTTGACGCGTTGTAAACGTTTAGCTAGTAGTTATCAAACAGTGAAATTTGTCATTTGACGCGTTGTAAACGTTTAGCTAGTAGTAATCAAACAGTGAAATTTGTCATTTGACGCGTTGTAAACGTTTAGCTAGTAGTAATCAAACTGTGAAATTTGTCATTTGACGCGTTGTAAACGTTTAGCTAGTAGTAATCAAACAGTGAAATTTGTCATTTGACGCGTTGTAAACATTTAGCTAGTAGTAATCAAACTGTGAAATTTGTCATTTGACGCGTTGTAAACGTTTAGCTAGTAGTAATCAAACAGTGAAATTTGTCATTTGACGCGTTGTAAACATTTAGCTAGTAGTAATCAAACTGTGAAATTTGTCATTTGACGCGTTGTAAACGTTTAGCTAGTAGTAATCAAACAGTGAAATTTGTCATTTGACGCGTTGTAAACGTTTAGCTAGTAGTAATCAAACTGTGAAATTTGTCATTTGACGCGTTGTAAACGTTTAGCTAGTAGTAATCAAACAGTGAAATTTGTCATTTGACGCGTTGTAAACGTTTAGCTAGTAGTAATCAAACTGTGAAATTTGTCATTTGACGCGTTGTATTTGTCATTTGACGCGTTGTAAACGTTTAGCTAGTAGTAATCAAACAGTGAAATTTGTCATTTGACGCGTTGTAAACGTTTAGCTAGTAGTAATCAAACTGTGAAATTTGTCATTTGACGCGTTGTAAACGTTTAGCTAGTAGTAATCAAACATTTGTGAAATTTGTCAAACTTGAAATTTGATTTGCGTTGTAAACGTTTAGCTAGTAGTAATCAAACAGTGAAATTTGTCATTTGACGCGTTGTAAACGTTTAGCTAGTAGTAATCAAACAGTGAAATTTGTCATTTGACGTTTAGTTGTAAACGTTTAGCTAGTAGTAATCAAACATTTGTGAAATTTGTCATTTGACGCGTTGTAAACGTTTAGCTAGTAGTAATCAAACAAATTTGTGAAAACGTTTGCTCAAACAGTGACGCGTTGTAAACATTTAGCTAGTAGTAATCAAACTTGAAATTTGTCATTTGACGCGTTGTAAACGTTTAGCTAGTAGTAATCAAACAGTGAAATTTGTCATTTGACGCGTTGTAAACGTTTAGCTAGTAGTAATCAAACAGTGAAATTTGTCATTTGACGCGTTGTAAACGTTTAGCTAGTAGTAATCAAACAGTGAAATTTGTCATTTGACGCGTTGTAAACGTTTAGCTAGTAGTAATCAAACAGTGAAATTTGTCATTTGACGCGTTGTAAACGTTTAGCTAGTAGTAATCAAACAGTGAAATTTGTCATTTGACGCGTTGTAAACGCTAGTAGTAATCAAACAGTGAAATTTGTCATTTGACGCGTTGTAAACGTTTAGCGCGTTGTAAACGTAGTTCAAACAGTGAAATTTGTCATTTGACGCGTTGTAAACGTTTAGCTAGTAGTAATCAAACAAACAGTGAAATTTGTCATTTGACGCGTTGTAAACGTTTAGCTAGTAGTAATCAAACAGTGAAATTTGTCATTTGACGCGTTGTAAACGTTTAGCTAGTAGTAATCAAACAGTGAAATTTGTCATTTGACGCGTTGTAAACGTTTAGCTAGTAGTAATCAAACAGTGAAATTTGTCATTTGACGCGTTGTAAACGTTTAGCTAGTAGTAATCAAACAGTGAAATTTGTCATTTGACGCGTTGTAAACGTTTAGCTAGTAGTAATCAAACAGTGAAATTTGTCATTTGACGCGTTGTAAACGTTTAGCTAGTA